TTATACTCATGATCTAAGTATATAATGTCCAAAAATTTCAGAATATTTACTTAAATTATTCAATGCTTCTTGACATTACATCTCTTATAAATAGTATAAATTAAATTTTGGTCATAATTTCGACAACAATTTTTTATCAAAATAAAAATAAGGCACTTTTCAGGTCCCCATATTAATTTTAACGTAGTCGATAATCGTTTGGATAAACTACACTGAAGTAATATATCCAAGATAATAAAATTTTCAGGTCACAATGCTATGTTGATGCAATCATTGTATGATTCATAAATCTGTTACAAACACTTATTTAGACAGGTCCAGCCTATCTTGTCTTTCCATTGTATTAGATTATTCCTTTATGCATAGCCAAAAATTATCTTAATGACGTGAGATAAGGCTGACACGTCATTCTCTGAACAGGCTGATAAATTCTTTTTTGAACCGAACCAGCAATTCCATTGTGCATAGTATTCAAGGATTCAGACTCTCCAAGATCACTCGTTCTAACGTAATGCGATCCTCGAGAGTCTTTTTGAGTTTCACTTAAAACATTTTGTCCATTTATTTCGTTCTTCTTACGAAATTTAGTAGAATATTTATAAAAATCAGACATTTCAAAAGGTTTTGTAACTTCTCTGTATGGTTGATACTTTCCAGCTTGTACAATAGTACAATTCTGAGCGGATCCTAACATAATCGATTCTTCGTTTGTTTCTTGAGGTGATTTTGACTCGGCTGGAATTTCAAGTACTTTTCGTATCGGCTCGTATCGTGATGATAGTAAATGTTGATCGGTTTCGATTGTTAACATGTCACTTTTACGAAGATTTACTGAAGAAATATAATTGTTTTTACCATCTTCGCCGTTATTGGATGATTTAGAGCATACAGGAAGAGTAGACTGATAATGAATATTTTTATGAGAAGATATTAAATTAATATCTGATCCTGGACTTGTACCTGAATCCAAAGAGGTTTCATACCATTCTTTTTCTTTTCCTTTTCTACTGACATTATCCATTGTATCTTTACCATCGTGTAAGTCATGTAAGTGATTTGAATGCCATTTTTCCACACTGCCTAGAGATTGTGTACGTAGTAACATTTTATTATTGATTGGCGGCTGTTCAGATAGTGGGAGTAAATGAACAGAAGCATTTTGATGAGACGCAATATAAGAAGGATTTTTATTACAACCTACAGATGCTGTACGATATCGTGGTTGCATGTCGGCTCCAATACTACCAGTATTTTGAACTGCGTTGCGCTTCCTTCGATCCAAACTACCAAATCTATCTGCAGCAAATTGATCATCCGGACACCAAACAATTTCATCTTCGTATCGCATCCAATAACCTGATGGTAATTGTGATTCACTTGGTGAATTTGTGTATCGTAAATTTTTATTTGTATCCCGATCTCGCCTTAGTCCGGACTGTTGAGAATTACTTTTATGATATGTTGGAAACTCAGGTACATGTATATAATGTAATGTACGAAAGTCCCTTTCATAATATTCCTGTCCAGATCTTCGTTGGACGTCATTGTCCAAATGTTTGTAGTCAGAATATTGTGGATAATTATGCACTTGTTCTGGTTGCAATTGACGACATCTTATTTGCCGTTCGTCTTCGGTATATGCGCCTGGTAACGTTCGATACGTCCGTTCATTATCTTGATAATGATTTTGATTGCGCGAACCACCACTACCGTGAGAATATGTTCGCGTGCGACATTGGTCGGGTAATATATAAACATTTTGATTATCGTTATGATCATGTTCTATTATTTTTACACTTTGTCGCTGGTCGGAAATTGTAGGGCAATAAGTACCAATGTGATTGTGATTACAATTGTTAGGAATTACTGACTGATCGTCATATCCATGATTAGGATAAATGTTACACTTATCTTCCGATCCTAATGGACTTAAACTTATGCCGCCTTCTTGGAGCAGTCCTCTTGTAATTTTTGAATTTACGTCGTTTACTATAAAGACATAGATTTAAAATGAAGTTAAGCAATTTGTTCTTTTTAAACTAAAATAAAAAATTATCGTACCTGTGCCATCTAATGGTGGTCGGGGTTTCTTTGTTCTATGCTTTACATTTAAATGTAAATGTGGTTGGGCATTACAAATGGTAGAATGTTGGAGTTGCGTTGAATGATGAGATTTATTACGGCTTTGTCTCAGAAAATTTAAACGTGCTTCCAATTCTTGTAGCCTGCGTTGGCTTTGTTGGTAAACAAGTCTATGCTTACGGCGTACTGCCTTGCTTTCTGTAGGATCATTTACAATTCCTAAAGCAGCTTCTACTATACCAATTTGAACTTGTCGTTCCAACTCTAAGGCAGATTCCTCCTAGGAAGAATACAAAATAAATCACTTGTGTTTTACTTTGATATCTTCGATTGTGTAAATTATAATCTCTTGAAATTTCATGAAACATACAACTTCGTTCGTTTTCAATTTGTTGATTAAATTCTGTGGATATGTAAACGTTGTTCCAACTTTTTTGCGGAACACTGGCGGGCTCTCTCCAGGTTCTAACGGAATTTCTGGTGGCAAAACACCAGTTAATTCTGCTTCTTCTACGCAGAGGTTCTTAAGTTCATTATTTTTTTGAGCTAACTTCTCCTGCAACGCTTCTCTACGTTGACGAAGCCATTGCAATCTTGTGGACAATGAATCTTCTGCTAAAGATCCAGGTGTACTTTCGTTCCCTGCCATCACTTTGGGTAAATGTTCAGTTATAATTTATGAACATAATTTACTCTTACATGAAATGTAACAAATAATAACTGTACTTCATATTGCTTACCCATATTATTGGCAAAGTATAACGATACTATCCACAACAGGTATTTTGTCTGAAATGTTTATATAATAGAGTTATAGTTCATGTAACTGAAATTGTATCATTGTTGATGAGTGTTTCGTTTCAAAAATCCTAACTGTTTTTATCATTCTTAAATTGCTTCAAGTGTGATAAGATCTGTAAAACACGATAACAGTTACCAACACCAATAGGTTAACTATTAATTAAGATTACATATTTGTACTATTACGTCATGATAACCAAGTCTGGAGTCTGTTTTTTTGGTATTTGTGAATGAACCAAACAAACAAGCGAATATATTTTCACTATTTCGACAGAAAAACATGTACATTTTATTGTGGAAACGAAAAGTATGATCGAAGAAATCGACGCCTATTGTCTTTGTATAGTTGCCATCTTACATTCTATGTATCATCTACACGGTGATCCGATGCATGTAACTGAATATTCTTTGCTGCTATACAATTTTCACGAATATCTATTACGTATTCATAAAGGTTTATTTTTCAAATGGAAATTCATATTTCTGATGAATTAATTTTACTAGTTTATTAGTTGAACATAATAGGATTACATAATTATATCCAGTGGCGTCAATACTAGTGATATTGCACTAGATATATGACTAAATTAATCTGTCTGATCGACACTAATTTTCGTTTATTAATAACATATTTCATATTCCGCAGATTTCAAAATTTATGTTAAATTTGTACAAAATTAACTTACAACGCGGCCTGAAAAATTTAGCAATCAAATAAGCAGTAAGTCATCGTAAGTCATTGATGAAAAAGTTCAAATTAAAAATCATAGACTGATTTGTAGTAAAAGCATTGACTATAAAAGAGTAGATCTGAAATTCAATGCTTTTTCATATTCCACGTTTTGAAGTTGATCTGATCTTCGTATTATACGGCGTACGCGCGTTCTTGATCGTTCGAATTAAATTTTGAACAAAATAGTTCCCAAAATTATTAAGGTAATTTGCGAACTTTTCTAATTGTCTTCTTTGCAAGTGAAAATTTATTCGAGTAATGCACATTGAAATGATAGAACTAATCGCTATTACTGTCCTTATCGTACTCGTACACAGTTACCCTTCTTTATCCACGGAAGTGCTGCTACCTACGTGCGTATCAGAGAGCAGCTTTAAAAAAATGTTTTCAAAAAAAAATATGGTGACGCGCACATTTTTAAAACGAGCTTAACAGCGGTGACGTCGATTACAAGAAGGAATACAAAAGAAGAAAAATAAAATAGCGGAAAATATATTACAATTTCAGTTGTTAAGAATCAACTACAATAAACGGCCGACAAGTAAACATCTCGTACATAAATTAAAATAAACAGTAGTTATAGTTTCTTGTTGATTCCCGTAAATCTCCACAAAAAAGGGACAATATGTTGCTATCTATCAAATAGTCTTGAAACTAAAATGCCTTATTAGCTTCATTTTCTGGCAGTTCTAGCAGTTTTTGATAGATGGCAGTACTTTCGTATATAAAAAAGGGTGCGACAACAGTAGTGATTTGTTCATGCTACGGGGCGCGAAGTCCATGAACGAAGCTTCTTTTCATTTTCAAAGAAAATTAATTAAAGCGATTAATTTAGGAACTTTTCTTCTGCATTCTATTTATTCTATAAAATGTACAAATAAAGATTTATAAATTTTACTCTTAATCAATTTAGGTGTAACATGGTCAATAACCTGAAACCTGAGTGCTCGTTTGCGTCATGGTATCCCCTGTTTTGCAAAGATTCTTTGAGAGCTACGATTATTCACATTCCTGACGAGGTACTTAAATACTTGGAATATGACGCTTTCGTACTACCCGTCGAGGCAACAAATTCGATGTCACAAAACGCAGAATGGATGGATGGGTCTCCAATAACAAGTGACGAGGTAAATTTGAAATATGTGTTATGCGTGAGAAAATGCAACGATTGAGAACGATTTCCTTCCAGCATTCGCCCGAGACTCAACCAACGTTTCCACAATTTAGTCAACAAATTCAGAATGTCATAGACGAGTATGGTGCAGTCTTTATAAAATGTAATTGGAGTTCGCCTCTGGTGTGTAGTAAACGTTGTTATGCTTTTGCCAAAAGAATATTTCATTTCATTAGTGTTTCATTTGTTTTCAGGATGCGACTTGGGTTGCACCGACCAAAACACTGAAATGCAAAACACTAGAAGAAGTGTACTTGTTATTAAAAAGTTCAGACAGGATTGCCAAGGATTTGAACACTGCGGAGAATTATGTAGATCATGAAACTCCTGTAAAATCTTGTCTTATTTTAAAACAATGGAGGGATATCAATCCTTGCACAGAATTCCGATGTTTTGTAATACAGAATGAACTTGTAGGTAATAAATTTGAAACTATTTAGTTTTTGCATCTTATGTTGTCTAATTACGAAAGATTGTTATCTTGATTTTTTTTTTCTTTCTGCAGCAATTAGTCAGCGAGATATATCGCAGTATCATAGTTACAACGAATCAGAAAAATACAATATTCAGACAGATATCAAAAGTTTATTTACGGAACGTATTAAAGAGAGGTTTCCTCTGAATAATTGTAAGTATTTGCAGAGTATATTCTTGCTCAATTCAACTGTACAGTTTTAACATGTAATGACACTGTGATATAGATTCGTTTGACGTTATACGGTACAAAAAAGAGAAAGTAAAGATAGTTGATTTTGGCCCTTTGGACGAATCTGTTACCAAAGGTACTCTCTTTACTTACGAAGAATTACAGAACCTGGAGGAAGATATTCCAGAATTTAGATTCATCGGCGAGGAAATTGGCATTCAACCAAAAGCTCCAAATCACTTTTGCATTCCACAGGAAATAAATGAATTTTTTCAATCTAGTAAAAATTCCACGTTATTGGACATCATTCAACGAGTAAGTTACGAGTGAATTTCTAGAAATTACAACACACATTTAAAACTGTTATACTTGATTGAATATTTCTTACTCAAGGAGGTGGAGAGTCAACGGAAAGAATATGAAAACGCAAATTCTAACAGCGTGGAATGCGATTGATACGAGTCTAAAAAAGAACAACAAGAAAAAAGAGATTATTAATAAATAAATAATTGTGGAATCAGAAAATCATTTTTAAATACAGAACTTTCACTTTTATTCTGCCAGACCCTCTTCTATCATTACATTACATAAAACGATTAAAGGCTAACCTACCGCTTAAAAGAATTATCGTAATATTGCAATATTTTTCGAGCCATCGGCCTTACCGAGCGACGTCCTTTATATAGAAAATATGTCTTGTTTATGTACAATATGCAATCCTTAATACTTCGATTTGAAAAAGGATTCTCGATATATGTACCTCCGGACAAGTTAATACGCTGTACAGTCATATCCACGGAGTATTTTTCTCGTTTTCTCCACGTTATTACCTGGCAAAAGTCAACAAGATCGAGCAATTACATTAATTGATCCTTACTCATTCTTCCGATTTTTGTATTTCCCCGATTACATTTGAACATGAAAAATATCTGGTGGTGGCTTTAGCAACTGATTAACCCTTCCCCTTTACTTTTAATGCTCTATCTATGTGCGATGTTCTTTAGGACTGTTATCACTTAGATATCCGTATATCCAATTGGTTGGTAAATCGATACAATTTTTTTGTTCGCTTTGCATTTACATACTGTGTTTCGTAACTGTCGAAAGAAAGGAAAGAAAGAAATAAATCAGACGAGAAGTTCCATGGCCAATGTCAACAGTCAAGTTGTGAAACATTTAGAAAATATAATTTTTTAAAAGTAGAATCGGATTAAATTTTAATTTTCACGCAAATGTTCGTGTTCATCGCATAGTCGTAATTTGGTTATCCCTTCAGGCGTGTATATGTATACGTCCAATGTATGTATTCAAGTATCTCAGCATCTAATATTTATAAATTCAAGTTTAACCCTTTCACCTCTTTACGACCAGATTCTCAATCATGCGAAATCCAATCAGCTTTGAAAACAAAATATATACTGCTATGACCAAGCATTGTTCTAAAAATGCTAATAATTTAGTATCTCTCTCAGTGTCGCAAAGAGATGTGTGTGTGTGTGTGTGTATGTGTGTATGCCAGTGTAATACGAAAATAAACTTCCTGTTCTGACAAATGAAACGAGCCGCAAAATCTCAAGTACGTATAAAACACTGCGTGTGATCACGTAGTTTTCCTCAAAAGATCCATCAATTTCATTCAATATCGTATCGCATTGTAACTGCATCGCTAATTCCTTCCTTTTTTTTTTCTGTTTTTTTTTTTTTTTTTTTTCTTTGTACGGATTTATTACAGTAGAACGATCTTAAAAATATAAATTCAATATTTTCAGTTCGAAACATGCGTTTGTCAAAAATGTGTGAAAATAACGAGGCCTTCAGCATTTTATCGAAGTCGGAAAGGAATAATTTATGTATCGCATTGAGAGAACTACGAAGATTGCAAGTTTTATGCATGACTTTTTTTTTTCTTTTTCTTTTTTTTTTTT